ATATAGTTTACTAATTCTAAATTTATAGTTCATTAATTCTAAATATATAGTTCATTCATTCTAAATACACAGACGCAACGAGCTGTCATAAGTCAAAACAGAGTACCAGTAACCGGTGTGGATATATAGTTCACTAATTCTAAATATATAGTTCATTAATTCTGGATATATAATTTATTAATTCTGGATATATAGTTCAAATTATGCACAACATAACGCCGTTAATGGCAATCGATTTTTTTTTTTTAAGTCAGACGAAGTCGTTTTTAATCAAAATGACGCCGTTTTACATGCATAATGCACATGATTGCACGGCATAATTAGCCTTGATTATCAGAGTGATTATAGGAATTACATCCGCTTGACAAATTTTCCCCTCAATTGGATAATGGATACGTAGTTTGAGGACTTTGAGTTTTTTTTTTTTTTTTTTTTTTTTTTTTTTTTTTTTTTTTTTTGAAAATCAAAACAAGCACACAACTAATTAGTAATCAAATGTTGAATACAAGAAGGATAAATAAAAAACCATTAACATGGATCAGCCTGAGAAATAACAGCTCGAGCTAAAACATTTGTTAGTTGGTAGTTAAATTAATTTATTTTTTTTTAAAAGAAAAACCTAATTTTCAAAGGTCTTTATCTAACACCAGTTAATTTATTATGAATAAAGTTTACCTAGTCGGCTTGACAAAATATTGCACTTTGTGCCCGCGCGAGCTTAGTCAATGGTTCAGTAGGCAGTATTTGAGAGAAGAGATTAAATTTCAAACTTTAGCGGTGACAATGTGGAGATTATGCCCAAAGTAGACAGATCTCTTATGCACACCGGCATTTGGCATTGTCTGCTGAGTCATTAATTCACTGTGATTTACATTCTCCCAAATACTCTGTCGGATCGGAGTGTGGGGGTTCTTAGAATTAGGGATTCAACGTTTTGGGAGAAGAAAAGTATTACACTTGTGTAATTACATTTACAGGTATGATGAGCATTTCAACAAAAATTTGGTCCAAGTCTTGTCTGTAGTGAAGACACTTAAAAATGAGAAAATGTACAAATAAGTCATTGAACTATTTGGGGGATAGCAATTAAGTCACCGAACTCGAATAAGCTCTAAATTGAGCCATGAACCTGCAAAAAAAATGCAATTAACATTTTTAGTAGATTACCAACATGTTTGTGATTATTAGGATGCCATGTGTATTTTTTATTTTTTAATTTATTGTTATTATTATTATTATTGTTGTTGTTATTGTTATTGTTGTTGCCGCCAAACATAGAATTTATATTTTGCCGGTTTTTACCAGGAAAGAAAGTCTTCTCATCCCTATGGTTTCTCCATGACTAAACAAATAGAACAAGAGTGCACGTTCTTCCCAACATGCTCCCAACAAACATCTCCATTTTCCTATGTTCAAATCCCACATTTCACAAACATTCCTTTCTTCAATCTTAATTGCATGCTTTCTTCTTCTCCTTTTCATTCCTCCTTCTAAACTCTAAACCACAATGTTCATCCTCTTCTTCATCTTAATGTTTCTCTCATCACCATCAGTTTTAGCAGAACTTAAGGTTCAGTTCACACCTGCTGACAATTATCTCATAGACTGTGGCTCCCCTGATTCCACTCTCCTTGATGATGGCAGGACCTTCAAGTCTGATTCTCAATCTGTTTCTTACTTATCCACTGATGAAACCATTCTAGCTTCTACCAATTCTATTCCCAATTCTCTTCCTCTATACCTCACTGCAAGAATCTTTCATCATGAATCGATGTACAGATTTCTTGTTTTCCGCCCCGGATACCATTGGGTTCGTTTGTACTTTTATCCCCTTCCACACCCTACTTATAATCTCACAAAATCTGTGTTCTCTCTCACTGCTGATCACATTGTCCTCCTTCATGAATTTTCTGTGAAGGGTAGTGAAATGGTGTTTAAAGAGTACCTGGTTAACATTAGTTCGACCAAGTTTACGCTAAAGTTTTCGCCTTTGAAGGATTCGGTGGCTTTCATCAATGCCCTTGAAGTTGTTTCTGCACCAGATGATCTGATCCCTGATTCTGCTGCTGCTGTTTCTCCTGTTGGGGATTTCGATGGCTTGCCCGAACACGCGTTTGAGGTGACCTATAGAGTCAATGTCGGGGGGCCAATTCTCACTCCGAAGAACGATACATTGGGGAGGACATGGCTGCCTGATAAACAGTTTATGACATTCCCACAAGGAGCTAAAAGTGTGTCTGTCTCTCCCACAACGATAAAATACCCGGAGGGTGGAGCCACCGCTTTGGTAGCCCCGAATTGGGTGTATGCCACGGCTGATCAGATGGTGGATGCTGGAGTTATGGAGCCAAACTTCAACCTTACATGGGAGATGGATGTAGATCCCGGGTTTTCTTACCTTATAAGGCTGCATTTCTGTGATATTGTGAGCAAAAGCCTAAATGAGCTCTACTTCAATGTGTATTTCAATGGGATTTTGGGAGCTTCAAATCTTGATCTTTCGACACTCGCTTCGGGCCTGGCTACCCCTTACTACAAGGACTTTGTGCTGAATGCCACCGCCGTTTGGAACAGCACGATCGTGGTTCAAGTCGGCCCCGCTTCCAACCTTCAATCGAGCCCCCCCAACGCCATACTTAATGGCTTGGAGGTTCTTAAGATGAGCAACTCGGATGGGAGCTTAGACGGGGTGTTCTCTTCGGGGGTGGAATATGGAGGATTGATCCCGAGGTCTAATGGAATGAGGATTGCAGCTTCGGTTGGGTTAGCGATGGGATTGATAGCCATAGTATTGCTAGTGTTCGGGATTGTGAGGTGGAAGAGAAGGCCTAAAGGATGGGAAAAGCAGAAAACTTTCTCTTCTTGGCTTCCATTGATCAATGCTAGTTATTGTAGCTTCATGTCTAATTCTAATCACTCCTCCACTGTTTTCTTATCTGGGGGAAGGGTGTTCACCTTCAATGAAATCAAGAATGCAACCAAGAACTTCGACGAGAAAGCAGTGATTGGAGTTGGGGGATTCGGGAAAGTGTACCTCGGGGAGCTAGAAGATGGCACTAAACTTGCAATAAAACGAGGCAATCCATCTTCGTCTCAAGGGATAAACGAGTTCCAGACCGAAATCCAAATGCTGTCCAAGCTAAGGCACAGGCACCTCGTTTCGCTGATAGGCTACTGTGATGAGCAAGCCGAGATGATCCTGGTGTACGAGTACATGTCGAATGGCCCTCTCCGGGACCACATCTATGGCCCGGGCACGGGCACGACCCCTCTGTCGTGGAGGCAGAGGGTCGAGATTTGCATAGGGGCAGCCCGGGGGCTACACTATCTCCACACGGGATCAGCCCAGGGGATGATAATACACCGCGATGTGAAGACCACAAACATCCTCCTGGATGACAACTTGGTAGCCAAAATGGCGGATTTTGGCCTGTCCAAAGCCGGGCCTTCTTCTCTCGAGCAAACGCATGTCAGCACTGCGGTGAAAGGCAGCTTTGGATACCTCGATCCCGAGTACTTCAGGAGGCAACAACTCACAGAGAAATCAGACGTTTACTCGTTCGGAGTAGTCCTTTTCGAGGTTTTGTGTGGCAGGGCTGCTCTTGACCCTGCACTGCCTAGAGAGCAGGTGAACTTAGCTGAGTGGGCACTGCAGCAGCACAGGAAGGGGGTCATCGAGAACATCATCGACGCTCATCTTGCAGGGACGATAAGCGTGGAATCGTTGAGGGTATTTGTGCAAGTTGCAGAGAAATGTTTGGCAGAATATGGGGTTGATAGGCCTTCCATGGGAGATGTGTTGTGGAACTTAGAGCATGCTTTGCAGCTTCAAGATTCATCATCTTCACAAGAGAAAGAAGAGAAGATGATTGGTATCTCTGAGGATTCTGGAGTTGTGGTGGCCTCTCCCATCTTTAGTGGAAGATAATAATATCCCTCCCTCCATCTATCTTTAATTTTCCTTTTGATTATCTTTGGTTTGTAATTCTAAGCTCAAGGGCATTGGATTTTTTTAAGAACAAAATAAATGAAATCTCAACATCTTCAACAACAATTATTTATCTAAATTCTAGGCATGTATTCATTCATTTTCCAGGATTATACTGCCACAGCCCCACAGATAGTTCTCAAAATTGAGAGAGAAAAAAGAAAAGATTAAAGACAATGATTCCGAGAAGTTATAATGTTATAGCACCCCAGGAGAAAAAAATGAAGTCAAAGCTGGCTTCTTTTTTGGATGACAAGGAAACCCCACAACCCTTTCGAGCCCCGTTTTGTGATCCTAGCCGGCAAAGGACCACGCGGAAGTAAACCAACTTAGATTTCCCATAGCTGATTGGCTCAAACCAAAGGGGCAATGATTTAAACTCGTAACCTTATGGTTACAAGTGTAGATGCCTTGTGACCCTAGCCGGTAAAAGACCACAAGGAAGTAAACCAACTTAGGTTTTCCATAGACCTTAGCTGACTGGCTCAAACCAAGGAGGCAAAGATTTCGTGACCTTATGATTACAAGTGCAGATGTCTTGTCATCTTAGCTGGGGTTACCCCAAGCTGGTTTCTTTTTGTTCTTCTTTTCCATACTGGATTGCATCCAAATCTCGCAATATAAAATGAAACTAATCTAACCGATACAGGAAGTTTTTCATTTCCCATCAGCAGTGTATTGATGTAAAAAAAGGGGGTGTTTGGTAAATAGCTATTAGCTGGTAGCTAATTGGGTTACTGAGTTTGACTAATTAATAAAATTAGCTGATTGAAGGAAAGTGTTTGGTAAATTAACTGTTAACTGATAGCTGATTACATGCAAAATTACTTTCTCAAAAAGCTGATCGAAAAAAACTGTTTTGAACAACTTTTTGAATTTTAGCATTTTAGAGTAATAAGTTGTTACAAAAAAACTAATTAATCAAACACTCATATGAATTATTTAACTAAGTCAAACAACTAATAGTGGTCAAATAAACTAAAATTAACTGTTACCAAACAGGGCCAAAATCTATTCAAGGCAATGTAGCAAAGCTTTTTAGTGTAAACAACAAACTATATGTCAACACTACAAGTGTATATACATCAGTTTCTCATTCTAGTGGTGTGCCAATGCTTCAGGTCTACAAATTTTAAACAACAAACTATGTGTAAACACAAGTTATATACATCAGTTTGTCATTCTCAAGAATGCCATTGCTTCAGCTCTAGAAATTCTTCTTCTCTTGGGACTAGGTGACTTTGAGATGGACAATAAAAATAGCACAGAAATCCAGAAACAGAAACTGCGGGCCGCTTATTCTCTGTAGATCCAGCAGATATTTGTCTTCCGGAGTTTTGTAAAGCTGGAACAATATTCATATTAATCCACAATGTTTGGCCATTTTTGCATATAAGAAATGTAAACTAACAGGATATGTAAAATGGAGAGAGTGTTGCTACTAATTTGCCCGTCACCTGGAGATAGAGTTTTGTGTGTGGGGGAAGGTGAGGAAGGAGAAGATAAATCTCAAGTGGGAAGAGATGAGATGGATAAGGTCTACGGAAAGAATGTCAATTACTATTAAGTTTTTTTGGGGGTGACGAGGGAAACCCGTAGCCACTACTCAAGGGTCTGCATTGGATAAACGCTGCCTTGTAATCCTAGCCGACAAAGGACCACAAGGAGGTAAACCAGCCTAGGTTGCCCATAGCTGAATAAACGCTGCCTTGTGATCCTAGCTGACAAAGGACCACAAGGAGGTAAACCAGCCTAGGTTGCCCATAGCTGACTGGCTCAAACCAAGAAGGCTAGGATTCAAACTCGTGACCTTGTGGTTACAAGTTTGTATCCTTAACCAACTTGGCCGGGGTTAACCCGAATTACTATTAAATTGATTTCATTAAGAGATGCAAAAATTGCTTCAATACAAGAAATAGGACCTCAGGTAGCCTACCTATCTAAAATAATTCACCAATCTGTTCAAATCATTCTAAGTTAAGAATGTGGAGGGACCAAATTAGGGGGAAACATTGGGAAATCCAAACCAGTAATCACAAAATTGTCCTATTTCATTTCTAATCAGAAAAGGATGATTAACAACAATTAAGATTTTGTATCCAGATCACAGTAGATGTAAGAAGATTAACAAGATACTAGTTCTATAAGTGATACTTAAGGTAGTTTGTGTTTAGAGTGGCAGCTGGTGCAAGATGGTTGACTAAGAAAAAGAGCTTAGAGGAGTACCTGCATTTCAAACTTCACCACAACTTGAGACAGTAGACCATTTGCATTTGCAGCAGTTTGACTAACAGTAATACAGTCATCACTCATACAATTGTTGGTTGTAGTACGAATTGGATTATGCGAATAGCACCACATGCACTTCATATTATAGTGTCCGATTTTTTTCCACCGAACATTCAATTCTTGCATGGCTCCCAGAACTTGAGTCATTATCTCTTGTGGAGTTGCCGGGGACTGGCAAGCAATCAATTAGAACAATCATTATGGATTTAAAAGATGCTGCCATTTACGTGTACTGAAAATTGAACTCCAAGAGAAACATATAGATTCTGAGACATTTTTGTTGTACCATCCTATATTTTCTAAAGAGAGCAAATCATGTAAATGGAAAACTTGCATAAGTCTGTCTGTACCCTGTAGTTGTTAGGAGTTTAGGGCTTAAGGTCAACTACTCTAGTCTGAACACAAAATGACTACTAACCTGAAGTCCAACAAGCCACTTTTTCTCTCTTGACGACAATGGTCTTGAACTTATGTCATAAGAAAATCCATGGCCAACAGACATCTGAGAGTCAATATTTGAAAACAATCCTGGGGAAAAAGGCTCCTGAGGAAACACAAGTAAAAACAAAATCCAATATGGTTGAAACTGTCAGTTTTGAATGCATTTAGGTGAAAGAAAAAGAATTAGATACCAAAACAAATTACAAATAAAGGACTGAAGCAGAAAAGGTGACAAGTCATGCTACACACCAAAATGTAGAGGATAGCACTGGAAAAAAAAAATTCATGTTGTGCTGCTGAATGAAAATGGAAGATATTCAAGGTACTAAAGGACTTCATGAAGGGCATACCATTGAATCCTCAAACTCAGCTCCCAAATAGCCACCAGAAACAAGGGATCGGCTATCATACAGCAAGTAGTATGCAACAGTAGCCTGAACAAATTAAAGTAAGACAGATCAGAGAAGAAAAATAGTACCTATCATTTCTCTTTCTTCCTTTCCATTATTCTCTCTTACTGACTGAAAGGAAATTAGTTATGGTTACTTAAATCTTGTCATGAGTATTAGCTGAATATTGTTCCAAACTGTTCCTCAAGTGATTATATGCATCTGAAATAAGCCCAGAAAGTGAAAAGATATACACAGAGAACTGACTGATTTAGTGATGTGGGCCAAATTCAAGGTCAAAAAGTAGGATATCACACAGCCAGTTCAAAGTTTCCCCCTTTTTCTTTTTTCTTCTTTTTATTCTCTAGTAACGCATATTTACATGGAGGGAAACAAAAGAGAATAAAATGTAATGAACCAAATCTAAAATTGCAAGGTAATTGGCTCCAAGCAGCATACATCATTTTGTTCTCTATTTTGCAGAGATGCTAGTAGCTGGCCTCTGTCAAATCCCTTTCTAATTACTTCTTGCAGTATCTCCTCATCAATCTGCATAGGGGTAAGTGGGCAAGCTTATGTTAAAATTCAGACATGTAGGAAGGGAGAGTATGAACAATCAAGTTTAAATTGCAAAAGGTTAAAATAAGGGGAAGGAGCCCATTAGATGAAAAATAAATTCAATATTTCAAGTCCAACAGATTTCTAAACAGTCGTTTGTTGTTTATTAATTCAATATGAACAACTAATGTCTTGGCTTGAGATTTGAAAAACTAATAAATTTTTCTCAACCTTGGAAAACCAAAATGGGAGAAATGATTTGGAGACTGTCAGAAAGAGATTATATTTTGCCTCATTCATTATGTGTAAGCAATACTGAGAGAAGAATATTGATTTCCATTGAAGATTGTTGACTGTCAAACTAGCAAAAGTAAACTAGAATGATTGACACAAGCAGATCATGGATGAGAGAACAAGCCTTCTTTAAGTGCTGCATTGCATCAGGTGGAGGAACTGCCAAATAGCGAGGAAGATGAGCCTTGAACCAATGATGCTGACGAATTTGAGGTATAGTTATTCTCTTCAAAGGATCAACAATCAGCATCCGTGGAATCAAATCTCTAGCTCCAGCTGACAAATGACTTGGAAGAGTGTACAAACCACCCTGAATGACAATGTTATTGACCACACAAACAGCCATTAGTTAAATATTGTCAATTGTCGTAATCTATTGAAATTCAACAAAAAGATGATCAGTAGTCTTGCCTTTATTTTTTTGAAAAGGTTAGGAATGTTCTCATCATCAAAAGGAAGAGTGCCACAAAGAAGAGCATATAATATTACACCACAACTCCAAACATCTACCTCAGGACCAGCATAAAGTTTACCAGACACAACCTGCAGAAAGGTTTCAGAGAACAAATTCAGTGATTCAATTAGCTGCATCATTAAGTGAGTCAGCAATTATGTTACAAAATGCATTGCATGGATTTGACACCTCTGGTGCTGCGTAATTTGGGCTCCCACAACTCGTCTTAAGAAAATGGCCATCTCGCATAATATTACTCAAACCAAAATCAGCTATCTTCACATTGTGTCTGGAATCCAATAGCAGGTTTTCAGGCTTGAGGTCCCGGTGAACCACCCTGTTCCTATGACAGTATTCTACCCCAGCAATTATCTGATTGCAATGAAATGACCATCGAATAAGTATGGAAAAAAAAATACAGCATTTAAATTACAAACAAGCTTATACCTCCATTCCATCAGATTGCTTTTATTATAGTATTTTACACTGTAATTAATAAAATCTAATAAAAGGAAATTCTACCTGCTGGAAGAAACTACGAGATTCATCCTCTTGTAATCTGCCTTTTTCTACAATATAATCAAATAGCTCTCCAGACTTCACATACTCCATGACAACAAATATGTCAGTTGGTGTCTCTATGACCTCATAGAGCCGTATAACATGTGGGTGCACAAATAATCTACATATCTTTGTTTCCCTTCTTACTGCAAGATATCACAAACATTTAGAAAGTTTGCAGAAGGCTTTCAAATTTCCAAAGGTGAAGGAACCACTATATCAAAACACATCATGGAAAGAGAAAAGCACCAAATGCCATAGAACACAAATTCTTATACAAAAAATAAAAAATCTTCAAATCAAGCACAATTTTTTTTAAAAAAAAGTATTGGTTAAAGTGTTACTTCATACATTTTTCCTCCATGTCAGGGCTCCTCATTTTCCTGCGGTTAAGTATCTTGATAGCCACTTTGTGTCCAGTCAGCAAATGTTCAGCAATTTTCACCTTACCAAATGAACCATGGCCAAGAGTTTTTCCAATCCTGTAATTTCTTAGAGGGTTATCACTAGCACCACCTCCTCTGTTATCCATTTACACCACCCGATTGAACACTGCAACAAAAAAAAAAAAATGATAATCCATCAGAGGCTTAAATATCAAAGATACAAGCATACAAGCTAAAGTGCACGCACACACAAAAAGAATTTGAAAAAACCATAATGATTTCCATTTCCATCAAACTGATCAAAGAACTCCATTTGACCAGATTTCGTGTTTTTCAACTATGGAGAATGCAGATTTTACATGCTAAATAGTAAAGAGCACCCAAAAACCAATTTTTACCAAAACTAACGACAAAGCCAAACTCAGAAACCTACCAAATCAAAACTTAAGTAAACTGATAGTTAGCTAAAACAATCACGAAACAGCAACAGGAGCAAGCCTATTAGAGCCTCTTAATCGACATTCAACCCAAGACTCTGAGCTCCAAATCATGATTCAAACCTAAAAAACAGTTCGAATTAACTAACTCTAAGCAGAGCCAATTATAGATAGTAAACGCCATGAGTAAAAGCAGAAACTTGTTTAATTTTAGTAATGATGAGTACTTGAACTTAATTACATAATAATACCTGAAAAATGGATCTCAAACACCGAGCAATGGAAAGTCCGCTAGAGAGAGAGGGAGTGAGAACTTCGAGGTAGCAAAATAAAATCTAAAAAGTAAAAAAAATAATTAAAAGAAGTCCGAAATCGTGAAAGGAAAGCATAGTGAATGGAGGTTTGTACTTTTCTGCCTCAGAGTCTACTCAGCAATACGCATCGGATTACGGATATCGACAACTGATTCTTTTGTACAAATCCCTACGTTTTTTCTTTCTTTCGTATAATTAAGAGTTAATTACTGAAATAGTATAATTACTGAAATGGTCCCTTGACTATAGAAAAATTATTAATTTAGTCCTTAATTATTTTTTTGACTAATTAAGTCCCTCAACTTTAAAAATTTTAACCAATTTAGTTCTCCGTTTGTTTGACCGTTAGTCAATCGTTAACTTGAGACCAAATTGGTCATTTGCTATAGTCAAGGGACCATTTTGGTAATTAATTTTAAGGGTGGGCAAATCGGATCAGTTTTCTCCAACCGAACTGTACCAAACTAGTTAGATTCGATAATATACCGAACAACCGAACAGTAATAGATTCTTGTATATCGAACGGTTCGGTAAAAACTCGAACTGAACTGAATTGTTCGGTAAAAATCGAACCGAACTGAATACCGTTTGAACTTTGGATTGCTATTTTGAACGGCAGAGCAAGCAGCAAGAGACTTGGATTTACTTTTTATTAATTTATTTATTTATTTATGTATTTTATTATTATTATTATTATTATTATTATTATTATTATTATTATTATTATTATTATTATTATTATTATTATTATTATTATTATTATTATTATTATTATTATTATATTTAAAAAAAATCAAACGGTATTCGGTTAAGTTCAATTTTTTACCGAACAATTGGATCGGTTTTTATCGTACCGTTCGGTATACAAAAATCTAATACCGTTCGGTTGTTCGGTATAATTACCAAACCAAATTAGTTCAGTTCGGTTTGGCACGGTTCGGTTCGAGAAAACTAAACCGAATTGCCCACCCTCAAAAATCTGATTTTCAATATCAAAAACTACAAAAGTGTCATCGGAGATGAAATTCTCATTGTCCCCTAAAGTTAATTACCAAAATGGTCCCTTGACTATAGCGAAATTACCAATTTGGTCCCAAGTTAACGGTTGACTAACGGTCAAACAAACGGAGGACCAAATTGGTTAAGATTTTTAAAGTAGAGGGACTTAATTGGTTAAAAAAATAGTCAAGGACCAAATTGGTAATTTTGCTATAGTCAAGGGACCATTTCGGTAATTAACTCTATAATTAATTAATCAATTTCTTAAAAAAAATTAATCAATTAAAATATCTTTACTTTTTAACCCAATTAATGCAATGATAATATTTTAAAAAAATTCTACTACATATACTTTCAAATCTTACTCCTTCAATTTTATGTTTTGATGTAACGGGCTCTGATAAGCTATTTTTTTTTTTTATTTTTATGTGGGTTCCAATATATGTGTCTATATCAAGGTTTTGTGTGTGGAGTAAAAAACTAAAAATTGAGAGTACACATAGCATTTTCCTATGTTAAAAGATGTAAATTCAATTATCTTTAAGGGCTTGAGGCTTGTTTAGTTTACAAAATGAGAGATTGATAAGATTATGGTGATAGTGAAACTATAAGAATGTAAGATTATTTTATGGGGTTGATGGGTAAATATGCATAAAGAATTGAACCGTATAGTCGGTTTTGTCAAGAAGTCACCCAATCGGTCCGTCATAGACATCAACTCGACGGGAATAAATCACTTGTAATCAAACATACCGCTCGTACCGATGGGTCTCGTGACAAAAGAATATGGTCTCGGATCACCCTTGGAATCGCCCCAACGTAAAGCCACCCGGCCGGTTTACCGTAGGTTGACCGGTCGACCTACACTGTGACGTAGCCTAAAGAGCCACTAATGTAATTTATACGACAAGTTATAGGGGCCAACATGCGCCTGCAGAGCGGCGGCTGACAACCTGCATAAATAACGGCTTTGCCTCCTCGATTAGTCAACCTACGCATAGCTGCAGAGCAACCGTCTGACCAAGCCAACGAGAAGACGACACGTCAAGCCACTTGCAGCAGGTGCATTAAATGCGTAGACCGACTTAGTATAAATAGGGAGGGTCTCCCCCTCATTTCTCATATTCATCTCATTACAATATCTACTCTCTACTACGTGTAATCTTCACTCTATAATATCAACTTGCTCATAAATTGCACTCTGCAATTACAGTCTGCACTATTTTAGCAACCTACACATTAGTTATGCAAAAACGCACCAATAGTGTTAGGAAATGCACAACAATGAAATGCACCAATTCACCACAAAACACACAATATATAACATAGAGATCAAATGCGGAGGAGGTGTCCAGGTGAAACATGCGAGTGAATGGTAGCCATTGATCTTGTCGCCATTTTTTTTTATCAATTCTAAAAAAAAAAATAGAAATCAAAGAATTTCATGAGTCCCAATCAACCGAGCCACCAGGTTTGAGAATAAGGTGGGATCCCTGGATCTAGTCAACCGTGCCGATTGAACACTGATTAAAAATAAACGCGGTGATATTTTGGTAATTTTGTGTATTGTTGAAACTTAAGGTGCATATTTTATGTGCTTAAGGTGCGTCATTTTGACACTTAAGGTGCATTATTGTTGAAACTTAAAGTGCGTCATTCTAAAGCTTAAGGTGCGTCTTTTCAAAACTTTAAGGTGCAATGTTTTAACACTTAGAGGGCGTTTGGTTCATAGAATGTTAGATTACCTTAAGGAATGTTAGATTGCTGGGAATGTTAGATTATCGGGAATGTTAGATTCCTGTGTTTGGTTTAAAACTAAGATATGTAAATAAGACAACGGTAATAAGATAAATTGATTAAAACGTCTAAAGCCCAACATTAGTAATAAGACAAGGGAATGTGAGATTACCTAAGAAATTGGAGGGTATTTCACATTCCTTTCCCATAGCTAAAAACTTAATGCAGAGGTTATCAGACATTCCCTGGGAAAGTTACAAACCTGAACCAAACATGAAAATCTTATATTACCAAGCAAATATAATCTTGGTTATCTTATATAACCTGAACCAAACGCCCCCTTAAGGTGCACCATTTTAACATTTAAGATGCATCAGTTATACACTTGAGCTGCATAAGTTCTCTACTTACGTTGCAGTATTTTAACACTTAAAGTGCTTGATTTTGTCATATAAGATGCGTCTTTGTAACACTTAAGATGCGTCATTTCTACACTTAGCTTCTGCCTTTTAAGACACACGTTTTCTTTTTCATTAATTTGAGTCGTTTTATCAATGACTCAAATCTCACTGCATATTTCACCTGCCACAGCACCATCATTAGCCCTCCCAACCAGGGGCGAACCCAGCAAGGGGGCAGTGCCCCCCCCCCCCCTCACCCCACCCCACCCCACCCCACCGCCATCACATATATAACCCTTGTATGTATATATGTATATATAGTACAAGTTTTAGTATATGTATACTAAAATAGATAAAAGCTTAAAAAAAAAAATGACTAGACCAAGTGGCAAGACATGCCTCTTGTCTTTGTATAAGTGGCCAGGGTTTGAATTCTCAATGTGTGTGCAGGAACAAAGTGTTTATGTTATATTTTTTATCACTTTTAAATACTTCGTATTAATTAATTGTGAGATTTACACATACATATATATAACTTTCTTGGTTTGATGTGTTTTATTTTTCGTTCACATCCAACAATATTTATTCTATACTTTATTTTTTTTATCAAACTTATCTCTTTTTTTATTATTATCAAACTATCTCTTTTGTTTTAATGCGTTTCGCCCCCACTGAACAAGTTTTCTGGGTCCGCCACGGCTCCCAACCAATGCCGCCATGGCTGCAGTTGAAGTTCTGTTCCAATACAGAGTTGTGAGGGCTTATCATGATGATGATGCAGAAACTGGGGGTTTCTCAGCTGCTTTGGAGGGGTTGTTCATTGCATATCTGTACGCTCTTCTCCTCGTACTCGACACCATTGTCGCCTACTTTTTCTTCACAACTTGTTAGGTGGACAAATATGGAAGGAAGATTGCCCAAGATCAATCCTTAGCTTGCTGTTGCACGAGTATAAAGATTGTTGAAGACCTTCCCTGATTTTTTTTAAATTTATTTATAAATTTATTGGTGAAAAGAATCCAAATATTTATACTTTTGAACTAAGAAAATTTCACTTTTTTTATCTCCTAACTATTATACATGAATCACATTTGGTTCTTGGCTATTAAAATTTTCTAATTAGGTACATGATATGTAATTTTTATTAAATTTAGTCATGCTGTCCAATTTCCAAATCAAATATTGTTAAGTACCACTTCCAAAAAAAAAGAGTATTGCATTTGCTTTTTCCCAGCACTTCCTGTAATAATTGGCCAAATAAAAATAATTAAACGACAAAGATCAAATGTAATACAAATTACGCAAACGCAATCATACACATCATTAAATTTTTTTAATCAAGAATCAATTTTGGATCATGTTATAATAGTTCAGGAATTAAAAGTGAAATTTATTCCTTTTGAACTTTTATGAGTTACAATTTCACTTTTGTAGAATTTTCTTTGGACGAGATATAAAATTTCAAATTTAATAGGAAACTATCAGTAAAAGCTTTAAATACAATTTTTTGGCTTGAGTTCTTTTTGCTAATACGCTTTTTAGGCTTTTATATCATAAACTTCCTACACTGTAATTGGATTATGGATAGGAGCTGCTAAATGGTAAGAGGCATTGCAGTTTCCCTTGACTTCAAGATCGATCAGTCATTTTGTCTTTTTGATTGATTTTGTACTTGCTATATACTGGTCATAATTGATACAAACTACAAAGTTAACATGTTTGAAAATCACTCCGAATAACCAGACATAAAAACGAACTGTCTAGATAACATATGAGTTGCCCAATTCATTGATTGTTTGGAAAACGATAAACTTACATGAATTCAACAAGTTTTTGATGTCATTAAGAACAAGATGACACGAAGAGGCTCCCGTGATATCGTTAAGACTTTGGACCACAAGTAGCAAGTCTGTTTCAACCTGTACTTTATCAAAGTTGTTTTGCT